AAATCCCTGAAACCCCTAAACCCTAATGCGCGCAGTGTGGAATCATGACCACCCCCAACCAAAAAAACCCAAAGAACCGGCGCCGGTGAGAGTAGGGTTTAGGGTTCAGCTGGGGTAGGGTAGGCTTGGGGGGGGGGGAGGGGGAGGATTACATTGGGGAGCCCTGAAAAATGAAATTCCATGGCTGTTTCGGGAATATTCTGGGGATTAAGGGTAATAAAAATTGACCAGAAAAATATGCTCAAAACCTACCCCATGGCAAGCCCTCAATGGCAACCTCCCCCCCCCCAGAGAATTCCCCAAAACCTTTTAGAACCAAGAGATCCCTGGACGAGAGAAAAAGAGCAACACTCCTGTTACTCCTGAGCGCCCCTCTTACCTCCCCACCCTTCCGCTTATATTAAACGGGGGTCCCCCCCCACCCCCCAATAGAAATTCGAAATGTGTTTTATTATTAGGGGGGGGGTTTTATCGAAATGCCATATTCTAGACTCCAGATTTACTCAAGTAATCAAGCACTGAACTCTGGTGTAAACTGAGAGAGAGAGAGAGAGAGAGAGAGAGAGAGAGAGAGAGAGAGAGAGAGAGAGAGAGACAGAGCTTGACTCTTAACTCTCGTTGGCTTCAGCAAGCTGGCAGTGTTTTGGGGTTTGTGTCCGCGCTTTGTGTACATATTGATATGGGGATTTTTTTCTGAGCGATGTTTAGCTGACGGCAGTGACTTTAACTTCAACAGCGGATTGAGACTGTAGGGAGACTGATATTGTAACTCTCTCTGCAGTCTTGTTATGTCACCGTGTGTAAGTTGGCGGTCGTTCTTTTGTCCTCGCCACAGCAGAAATCTTCTAGTTCTACGCATCCTAAAGTGCGTGTTGTTCCTTCGCCAGAGGCAGAAGCGATCAATATCAGAATTGTTCGCTAAAGAGTACAACCAACAATAGTTCAAATGAGGATACGGATGAAATGACTTCTCGACGATGGCAGACTCTCTCGCAGAAAGGCATGTGCTGTTCTAAGTATAATCAGGTTGCACTCCTTGCGTGCGAACAAACAAGACGAGAAATGGTGACACATCGGGATTGCGCAGCTCTTCTGCCATCCCTTTTTGTATGTTGGACAACTAGAATCTGTTATCAGACGCCGTGCTGTATTTGCGCAATGTATAAATTAGAGAGGTCTCGGATGCCGGATGAAGGCCTCAGGGTTTGGTTGTACACGGCCTGCTGCTGATCTTCATCGTGGCATGTGAAACAAATGCTACTTGGAACCTTTTCGGCGATAAATCAATGTGTAGGCGTGAACATAACAAGCTAGTCTGAATGAATCAGACACGAATCAATTCTGCATGTGTCAGTTGTCAGAACTCGTGGTTGAAGGTCGCATCGCGTCGGATACGGATACCATTGTGCAGCGTACGATGACCTTGGCGACTTTGGTGGTGTATGGGTTACTATATTGTGAGGTCATTGCGTTTAAGTATGTATGTAGATGACTGCCACAACCTAGGTCCCGGAGGCGGTTTGAGGCAGGCTTGGCTGTAATCGTTCCCTCTAATATTAAACGGGGGGTCCCCCACCCCCCAATAGAAATTCGAAATGTGTTTTTATTATTAGGGGGGGTTTGATCGAAATGTCATGTTCTAGACTCCAGATTTACTCAAGACTGTAGGGAAACTGATATTGTAACTCTCTCTGCAGTCTTGTTATGTCACTGTGTGTAAGTTGGCGGTCGTTCTTTTGTCCTCTCCACAGCAGAAATATTTTTTGCGACAAAGGAGAGTGTGGCGGGTCGTACTTTTTGACGTGCTATGCCTAGGATCCTTTTTCAGAGGGGCATCCTAGATATTTTCATACGCGTGGCAGTAAGTCATGTTTGATAGTGTATTAAATGCGGCTACTGTTGCCTGGCCAGAGGCAGAATGGAACAGTCGTTACAGTCGTGAAGTATAGATTTGTCGAAGGATTACTGTAACAAGAATAGTATTATAAGACTTGATCGGAATCCGCCGAGGCCTCGGGCCGAGGGTGTATAGGTTGGGAGAACAGACACCCCCCTCCAAATCCTCCCCCCCCATTTTTCGGACCCGTTTTTTTGCCTCACATGGGTACCCCTCCTAGGCAACCGAGGTCCGCAAGCGGACGGTTCGTCGGGACCAGAGGCAGTTCAAGCCCGTCCCAGCAGGCTCAACCCTCAACCCTAATCTTCAGACCCTCAACTCTAAAGCCTGAACCCAGCTACGTCATGCTAGGGTCGTCATGGGTCTGAATGTTTGGGGTTCAGGAAACGTCGGATTCTTGCTCATGCAGCCGGCGCCGGTTTGCAAAGGCAGCTCTCAGAGACCGGACCCCGTCTCGGCGAACGGACTGCACGTTCACCTGCTGCCCAAGGAACTGGCCGTTCGGGAGCACCACGAAGAACGTGTTCGTGTGCTGAGCCGGGCCCAGCACAGACGAGGGGAATGTGGGCATACGCAGGGAGAAGAGGCGGACGCATGTGCGATGTTGCGCCTCAGGAACTAGCCACTGCGGCAACCTCGTTTTCGGCAAGGAAAAGAAAAAAATCAAATGCATTTTGCCAGGGCCTCTAAATGCACCACAGGTTGTCTGGGAGGCTAGCCCACCACTAGATCAGGATGCGCACTCAAGAGTGAACTCGGATGCTTGTCCGAGTCTAAACTGGATGTTTTCTTGACCCTGCTAAACACCCTAAACACCCTAAACACCCTAAACACCCTAAACACCCTAAACACCCTAAACCCCAAAAGCCCAAAAACCGTGCGCGCGTCCTGGGGGTGCCTTTTGTCCTTCCGGCGCGGCGCACTTGCACCCTAGGCGAGATCACATCTCGCCGGTGTTGCAGAGACTTTAGGTAGAAGTGCTCCCCCAAATCGATGAAGGGTTCTGAGGCATTAGGGTTTAGGGTTTTAGGGTTTTAAGGTTTTAGGGTTTTAGGGCATTCGGCTCCTGTCTTAGGGCCTCACAGTGAACCGGCTTGGCTCACGTCTCCGGGGGACTCATGCCTGAGCAGTGAATTTTGGGTTTAGGGTTTTTGGTTTTGGGTTTAGGGCCTAGGTTTTAGGGTTTTTGGTATGTTTTGGGGGCAGAATGGGGTAAGGAGGCTAGGCACAGAGGCGACCGGCATGAAAGGCGTGAGGGTTGTAGGTTCCCTCACAGCAGCTACTCATCCTGAGGTCTCCTATGCTGACTACTGACATGGCTGCAGTGTTCCTTTGTTGGGGCTTCTTAAGGTCCCTCCCATAGCACACTGTGGCCAGAACATCCAAGGCCCCGCACCCCTGCGGCCCTTTTACTCTATGTTTAAAAAGGGTTTGGGGTTTAGGGTTTAGGGTTTAGGGTTTGGGGTTTAGGGCTTAGGACACGCTCCCGCAGCCCGCAGTGTGTTGACATTCAGTGTGGAGGGGCATCGCCATGGTCAGTCGGAGCCTGGTGCTTCTTACCTTTGACAGGGTTTAGGGCTTAGGGTTTAGGGTAGCATCCGAAACAGCCACAACCCCAAAAACCACAAACCACCAGCACCGCGCCTTTTTGACATGAGTGCCGCCCTCTCGGCATGCGCTCTCATGCCTCTGCCAGATATGCGCCCCATGGGCTCCTATACTACTCCTCCACAACTACCCCAAGGCTCGGAGGGTTTCCAACCCGATGTAAGGTAAGAATGAGGCTTATTTGCAGGCGAATATAGGGGCCTTATTCATTAGAATAGGGCTTTTGGGGCGTTATTCCAATATTTAAACATATAAGGACCCTAAGAGGATACTATTAGCAATTCTTCCGACTCCTACACTATTTGAAGGTCTCGGTTTGGCATTGATTGTAGTTGACCTGGGGGTTTGAGCAACCCATGCGGGTGCGGGCCTTTCGGCACCCTCACGGTGGAAAAATGCTACGAAGTCCGAGCACCTCCCTGGCACATGCTCTGCTTTGGCCGTGCCTGGCTGGGGGCTCCGCAGTAGATGCGAAGCACCAAAAGACCTGACAAGGCTATAGTCCTCTTCTTCAAGGGAAGAAGAGGTTCAGACTCGAAACGTCGACCTGCGACGTGCGCGGAACCTGCGCCACAGGGCCCATAGAACAGGATGCAGGAAAGACTTGAAACCCCTGAGCCCCGAGATGACTTTTGGGCTTACTTTTGGGTTTACGCTGTGCTAAAGCATAGTGACCCGATGGCAGCTCTGAACCAAACCCCAAAAACCCTAAACAGTAAACCCTGGAGTTTTGGGGTTCAAGGTTGCAGCATCCTCACCCGATACACCCGAAACATCAGCTGCCCCTGCAGAATTTTCAGTGAAGGTGTTTCGGGTTGTATACCTAATGGGCTTTGAGGGGGGGGCGGGGGCGGGTGGGGGGGGGGGGGGGGGGGCAGTTCATCTGAACGCTCAGCGCTCAAGCTAAGAAACTTCTGCTGGGGCACCCGAAGCTTTGAAGAGTAGACGATGGCAGGAAGACATGCTAGCAACAAAAGGGGTCATGAGTCATGTGGGCTTAGATCTAGCTGCCCCTGTGATCCTAGCTTTGGCACAAGATACGGGCACTTTGTTTCCCAGAGAACAAAGGTACATACCTTTCTTGCTTGCACAATGGCATCAGAGATCCTGCCCCAAGAAGGTTGCTAGCTGCTGGGATTCTGTGCTGGTGTTGCTTCGTTAGGAAAGAAAGGCATCATCATCTGCAATTTCCTAGAGCCCGACATGCTTGTCATACTTGGAATGCTTGTGTACAAACTCCTCCAAAATGTCACGGCATGTTCCCTAGCCCGTTTCCCTCATAGCGAAGCATCCCCAGGGGCAAAAAGAGTGGACCATCGTTAATCCCCCAGTTGCTGGATAAACTCTCTTGTGATTGGGGGGGGGGGGGGGGGGGGGCGGGTTTAGAAATGCAGTTAGTTAGAAAGCCAAAGGCACCATGCAGAACAACAAACGGCACGAAAAAACAAGCCTTACATCGGATCCCATCTACCCCGACCCAAAGCGGGCCTAGTCATCAGGTCTCTGCGAACTTCAACATCTCTTGCCACAGCTCTTCCACAATAGCCTGCGACGGGAGTTCAGGATAGCCTGAACCCTCACATCCCTAGACCCTAAACCCGAAACCCTAAACCCCATAGCCTCGTCCCTTCGATCTCGGGTCGCTGGCTTCTTTTTCCCAGGCGAGATTTCGATGTGAACTTCCGGGGGTCTTGTGCTTGACTTGAGGGTTTTGGGGGTTTGGGGGGTTTAGGGTTTAGGGTTAAGACCCCCACAAGCAGCAACAGACAAGAGAAGAACGTTGAGGCAGCTAAGCGAGAGCCCTGATCCATAAGACAAGGGCCCTAGGAAGTAGATTAGGGTTTTGGGGGTTATATAGTACACTGCACTTATACAGTGACCATAAGGGAATGCTATTAACAAGTACTCCGACCCTATATTCCGTGGCTCCCCTGCATCGGTAGATTGTTTGAAAGAAGGACCGTGGTCCGGAGCTGCACAAAAGGCGCAGCGGGGGGAGTCAACGCACCGGCTGCGGCTGGAACACATAGGATCTCGCACAAGAATAATTGCAACCACTTGCAATACCACTTCTAGTCATGCTAGTGTACAGGTTCTGGTTTAGTAGACCAGTGACACGTGGAAGATTAGTACAAAATGGATCCCCTCAAAATCCCTCGGAGCGCTGCGGCCGTCCGAACCGGATCTCGTCTCAGGAGAGGTTTCAGCTGGAGGCCCCCCAGGGCCAACAAAAGAAACAGAGGTTTTCTCAAGTTTTTCTCAGCCGACACCCAAAACCCTAAAACCCGAGATCCCAGAGACCAGGAGCCTCCCCTCCACAAAGCCACAGCACACATGGTCCCGAATTCTTGAACTTTCTTTTTTGCGAGGCTTTCTTTGTGGAATCAGAGTTTCTGAGAAAAGATCTTCGCGGCAAGAAACGCGGAGAAAAAGCGGAGTGGGTGGGTTGGGAAGGCGTACCCACGGCGCACGCCACAGCACCCTTCCTGCGTGGTAGTGGCACACGTGACACAATCCCCAAAGCTCCAAACCCTAAGCCCTAAACCATACCTCCCCCCAAAATGATGAGGAGCCTAGACAGTTAGGACAAATACACGGGTGTCGGACGCATCTTGTTTCTGGCCTTTCCGGTTGACGCTTCTGCGATGTGAGGGCGGAGGATTCTTGTTAGGGTTAAGGGTTTAAGGTACTTCAAGGCCCGTATAGATATAGGGTGAGTTTTTTCGGGGTTGGGGCAACCACATCGTCTGCAGTAGTGCCACACAGACAGGGGTTGACCTAAGTCATTCTGCTTCAGCCCAGCCCTCCCCTAGGTCCGGGACCTCGGTCGTCGCCGCGCCACCCAAGGCAATTCGCAAAGCCTCTCATCTTCATCGGTCGTAAGTACGAAGAGGGCGCGGGGATACTCTGCGTAGTTACGCAAGGGGGATGTTCTACATAGGTACTTTTTTCTCGGGAGATGTACATGTACATCTACCCCCCCTAAACCCTAACCCCCCCGCCAACCCTAAACCCAAAACCTTAAACCCTAAAACCCTACAGCCCTGAGGCACTTGGAACTTTTGGAATGGAGCATCGCAAAACCTTAAACCCCAAAACGGAGACGTTTAGGGCATCTGGGTCAGCTTTTGGGGCATTTAGGGTTTGGGGTTTCGGGCGTATTAGGGGGTAGGGTTTGGGGTTTAGGGCTTGGGCTTAGGGTTTAGGGTTTAGGGCTTAGGGCTTAGGGCTTAGGGTTTAGGGTTTAGGGCTGAGGGTTTAGGGTTTAGGGTTTAGGGTTTAGGGCTTCTGGGCCTGGCCTCTTGACCGCAGATCTTCGAAGGGACGATGCCAAAGCCCTTCGCCTGCCTCGGGACAAACTAATGGAAGGATTTGGTGTTGCCTACACAGAGGGGGGGCGTGTAAGTGAGGCATCCAAACGCGAAACCCGAATCACCCACCCCAAGCCCTAAGCCCTAAGCCCAAAGCCCTAAACCCTAAACCCTAAACCCTAACAAAAGAATCCAAAAGGCGAGTGCTCTCAGGGTTCTGGAGGAGGTTGGGCGGAGGACTGAAGGAGCTTGAGGATTGAGGTTCAGGGTTTAGGTTTTAGCTAGGGAGTAGGGTGTAGGGTTTAGGGTGTAGGGTTTACGGCTTAAGAAGAAACTGGGCTGAAATCTTCAAAGGCTAGCTGCTCTTTCGGTTTCGGGCTTTCAGGGTGCAGAAAGTTCAGGGCAACTTTCAGGAGGAAGTTCACACGCGTAGAGCTTTGCAAACAAAAAGTGTGAAAGCGTCCCCAGGGGTACCAAGGGAAACTCTGAAGATGCTCTTAGGGGCTCGGCTAGGGTTCAGGGTTCACGGTTTAGGGTTTCGGGTTGAGGATTTAGGGTCTGTGCAGCCCAGGTTCAAGTGGTTCGCCAAGGCTTTCCTCGGACATAGGCTTAGCCGGCATTCGGGAGCCCAAAAACCCTTCTAGAACCCCTTAAGCTTTAAAAACCGGAACGCAACCCCCTAAACCCTGAACCCTAAAACGAAACATGAACCCTATATACCCTCAGCCCTAGACCCTAACCCCAAAAGACTGCGAGCGGAGGGGGCCTCAACTTGTGTTTTTTGGGCTTTGGCATTATAGGGCTTAGCCCCTAAGAGCCCTGAACCCTAAACCCTAAGCCTTAAACCCCCCGAGCCCTAAACTCTAAAACCCAAGTCCTTGCACTCCTCATCGCTTCTGAGGGGCGTGGCTTCCTCGCCTCTGGTGCTCCGGACGCAGACCTAAGAAATGGGTCTCTCCTGGTTGGGCATATGGTGAGTTCTCTATTTTTGGGGTTTAGATATTCAGGGCCGCCTTAGAAAGGCGACGACAAGAGAAGTGGCCATATGGCCTATGAGCCCCGCCAACGCCTCCATGACTCAACCTCCGCCCATGAACCCCGAAGTTCCCCGCAGCCCTGACACGCCGATTGTCCCTCGGAACCCTAAACCCTAAACCCTAAACCCTAAACCCTAAACCCTAAACTCCTAAACCCCTAAACCCTAAACCTTAAACCCCAAACCCTAAACCCTAAACCCCATGAGCCCAAGTCGCCAGGCCATACTTCGTGTGGACGGGCTGCTCGTAGTGCGGGCTCTCCTACAGCCAGGATCGGGGGGGGGTTCTTCTCGATGGGTTTAAGCATCTCCGTCTCTGTTCCACAGGGCTGGGGCTTGAAGGAGTCAAAACTCAGGCCCCTTAAAGCCCCTACAGTCTCTAAATCCCAACCCCAAACCCCGACTGAACCCCCCCAAAATACCCAGCAACAACCAAAAGCACCCAAACCCTATTGGCCGTCCTCGATGCGCTCTCGGAGGTACGAGGCCTGCGCCCCACACCCCCCCCCAAAGAACTCAAACACAAAAAAGCCCGAAACCCGAAACCCTAAACCATCCTAAAACCCTTCAACCTTAAGAGGTAGTCGCTTCCCTGCAGCGGGGGCTCGGTGGGGAGGGGGCGGGGTGTTTCGGTTCCGCAAGACAGTGCTGATAGGGTTCAGCGGTTCCCGTCCGTGTTTGGGGAGGCTATACTATACTCCCCTTAGAACCTGAATAAAATGATATATTTAATATCTTCTTGGGTTTTGTATAAAACAAAAAACAATTCCCAAGGGGGATATAGTATAGGGGTGTTAAGGGCGTCTTGGGTTCGGAGGGGCGCCTGGTCAACGGCTTGGCGGATATAGGAGCGCAGGCCGTGGGTGCCGAAGTATTCGAAGACCATCCTGTTTTCTTTGCGCGGGCTGTGATATAGGGGCCTGAAAATTAGAATAGGGTTTTGGGGGGTTATTATGGTATAATTACAAAGGGACCATAAGGGCATACTATTTTGCAATTATTCCGACCCCCCAAACTATGTGTTTCAACCGCAGGGACTTGCCTGAGTTACGTGTATTTCGTTCGTACATCAAAGTGTCATATGTGCCGTTCACGACGGGACTCCGCTTTGAACTAAACAGAAACTCCACATGTGAGGAGACATTTTGGGCGTAGGCTGCAGTTCAGACCAAAAACCCTAAACCCTAAACCCTAGGCCCTAAACCCTAAACCCTAAACCCTAAACCCTAAACCCTAAACCCTAAACCCTAAACCCTAAACCCTAAACCCTAAACCCTAAACCCTAAACCCTAAACCCTAAACCCTTCGGGCACAGGGCTTCTGAGTCACAAGCCTCGTGGGAGGCTGAACCCTTGATTGGGCGGGTTGGCGGTTCAAGCTCAGGCATTTGAGGCTTAGTGTTTTTGGAGTTGGGATTGTAGAACATATAGGGCTTTAGGGATCTTAAACCTGAACTCCGAAGCTCATAAACCCCTGAACCCTAAACCCTAAGCCCTAAACCCTAGACCCTAAAACCTTAACAACCCTAAAACCCTAAACCCTAAACCCTAAAACCTAGACGTTCCAGGAACACAGCTTGCCGCAAGGCATCCAGATCCGCAGCGCGCGGAACCGACGTCCGAGAGGGACGGACCAGTCCTGCTTGGAGGTTCATGGTACTCATTGACCAATCACAACTGTGCTTATAATCCACTTCTAAGGCACTGAAGTGCCTTATCAGTACAGCTATAATTGGTTAAAAGTACCATGAATCCAAGTGCTTTAGGGCCTACTACGGTTTAAGCGCTGAAGAGCAGGGTACACCTTGCGTTTTAGGCTATAGGTTTGAGCCTGATGTGAAGACTCCCATGCGCGTGGCTTTTATCAGTGGTTGGGCCTGTGGCAAGCAACCAAGTCGGAAACACGTGGAGGCTATGTCACATCAGAGTCACATCTCTCAACCTATTTGGCGCGCCCAGCTTGGACAAGTTCCATTGTGCCCCAAGACCTAGACCTGAAGCCCACAAACGCCTAATCTGCAAACCTGTGCGTCGTATGTGGCCAGGAGCTGTTGATTCCCGGATCAGCCACCAACACCCTTTCTATTGAGGACAGTGGACGAATACAGCCCCATCTGGGTTGTGCTGTCCTCGGTTTGAGCTACCATCTCAGCACAGGCATCTCCCGCTCAAAAAGGGAACCCCAGGGAGCTGGCTGGTCAGACTCTCAGGCCGCAGGTGCTTCTCGCATGGCCACCCTATAACTTCCTGCTCCATGGCCTGACTCTCTAACTTCCTGCTCCCTTCTGTCATCGATGCCCGTGCCATGCGCCATATGCCGCCACAATCACGGTATCACACGGTGGCGGCATCTGAGCATGAGATCGTTTGTCTTCCGCCGCTGCGCGGGAAGCCTAGACCCCAAACCTTCCCCCCCCCCAAACCCTGTTTTTCCCCTTGTCCTTGAACTCGGGGTTGTAGATGGACCTGGTTGTAGGGTTTGGGTTCAGGGTTACCTGGCATTGTAAACGTCTGGGTCCAAAAACGGGCTCCCTGATTTTCTTTTGATACCTATGACTGACTGCCCTGTATATACCTGTAAGGGCTCTTCTCACCAAAAGCTACCGGAGCCCGTATTAGGGGCCAACGCTTTTGACAATAGGCTCTGACGGTTGAAGAGGGGTTTTGGGGTCTAGAGAGTAAGATGGCATGCCCTAGTCTGTCACAGACCACTGCTTCGCATCTGTCACGTCAGATAAGGATTCAGGCCTTTTTGGTTCCGGATGAGTTCTCGAACCTTTGCGTCTCGATCATAGGTGAAGAGCCCCCGGGGGCCCTCGTCTAGGCTATCATCGGGATATAAGTACAGTTATGATTTGCTACTACGCACCATGAACCTCCAAGTAGGTAAAGAGCCCCGGGACCCTGTTTAGGTACTACTACTACTACTACTACTACTACTACTACTACTACTACTACTACTACTACTACTACTCCTACTCCTACTACTACTACTACTACTACTACTACTACTACTACTACTCCTACTCCTACTCCTACTCCTACTCCTACTACTACTACTACTACTACTACTGCTACTACTGCTACTACTGCTACTACTGCTACTACTACTACTACTACTACTACTACTCCTCCTACTCCCACTCCTACGACTACAAGCACTACAAGCCGAGGCAAGGACCAAGGCTTGACCTCCTAGACCCGGGGCTTCCTAGACTCCAAGTAAAACGGGTTTAGGGTCTAGGGTTTAGGGTTTAGGGTTTAGGGTTTAGGGTTTAGGGGTCTATACCCTGTTTAGGGTTTAGGGTGTAGGGGTCTATACCCCCAACCAAGCGCAGTCAAGTTGCATGTGCTCAACGTCGGCCATAAAGGCATCGGAGGCCGAGAAGACATCCTTCCCACCCCCAAAGCCCTCAACAAGAGGTTCAGGGTTTAGGGTGAGGGCCTACCTCATGCCTTCGGAGGGCCAGAAGCATGTGTTGGCGGGATAAGAGAGGTCTACCGACTACCGACCTGAAAAGATGCCAATTCCGGGTTTAGGGGTTAGGTTTGAGGGTATAGGGTCTGATTCCACCACAAACCTCCACCGGAGGACGGTAATCCCATGTCAGAGGCCGAAGGATCGACGTTTCCATATTGGCTTTCTAAGACCGTTTTAAAAGAAAGTTCGCACTTGAAGCCGCGGGTTTAGGATTTCGGGATCCTTGATTCATTAAGCCTTGAATCTTACACTCAGACGGCCCTGTCCAGCAGCAGCTTTCGGTCTTTCACCCACCTGAGTTGTCCAAAAGAAGCTTGCTTGGCAAAGCTGGGTTATCTGCAACGTAGGCTTACCCGAATCCCATCATCTACTACGTTTTGGGTTAAGCAGCTTGCACAGGAAGTCCCTGCCCAGATCCCCCCCAAGTTAAAATTCAATCGATGACAGGGGCAGAGACTGTCGGGTTTAGGGAAGCTTGAGGAGGTTTAGGGTCTAGACTCCCGGGAGTAACCCAGGAATGAAAAGGGTATCCTTTTTGGTTTTAAGGGGATTATAGGGGAACCCCAACCCTAAAAAAACAAAACCTGATAGGATCCACGAACCCGAATGCAGAAATCAGTCACCTATAACGTTTTTTATAACGCAAAATAAACGAAACGTCGGTGGCGGGCGGACGGACCACCATCATGGACCACCACCGCGGGACCACCACCGCGGGACCAGCACCACGGGGGACCACCACAACGACGGGACCACCACCACGGACCACCACCACGGGACCACCACCACGGGACCACCACAGGACCACCACCACGGGACCACCACCAGGGGACCACCACCACGGACCACCACCTGCACCACCACCACGGACTACGACCACGGACCACCACCACGGACCACCACCAAGGGACCACCGCCACGGGACCACCACCACGCGGACACCACCACGGACCACCACTACAGGAACCACCACCACGGGACCACCACTACGGGACCACGCCACGGGACCACCGCCACGGGAACACACCATGGGACCACCACTATAAAAAACTACACCCCGGGCGGCCGAGCCAACTCCAGGGGGCGTTTTTACCCCAGCCTAGCGGCCGGAAGCCCGTCTTGCCGGTGCCTCTCCGGTGCGAGGGCACCCCTCCTTGAGTTGAAAAAGGGTTTTGCAGATGGTTTCGGAACTTGGGGAGGGTTTAAGGGGCAGGCTTTCTGGCTTCGAGCTTAGGTCTTGGAAGCTTCGGGTTCGGGGTTTGGTGGGAATCCAACCCTTGCCAGCTTGTCAGGATTTCAACTTCGGAGCATAGTTTATGAGCCTCGGAGTTGCCGGCCTCCAAAACCCTCAATGAATTGGGTTTAGGGTTTACGGCAGTTGCCTCCAAAACCAAGCCTCAATGAATTGGGTTTAGGGTTTGCGGCTCCAGGGCTTTACAAGGGTTACAAGGGTCGTTTAGATTTTAGGGTTGAGGGAGGTGTACATACCGATTCAGACCCTAACTCGAAACCCTAAACCCAAACCCTCCCCTGTGCAGCCAGAGCTCAGCAGTGGAATGCGAGGTTTGCCCAGGAGCAAGGGCAAGAAGTCATCGAAGGCTTTGGCAGCGTCGCGCTCCTGTTGCATCTCACCCATCTGGCATGGCGCTGAACGCTTTGGGGCATGTGTTTGCGCATGCCGTCCCAAAGTATGGTTTACCAGCCTTGCCAGCCGAGGTGAGCAAGTCGGAGGAACCTGCACCAAAGGAGCACATGGGAAGGCTTCGATTTTTCAGGCCGGCCAACTACCGTGGTTGGCCGTGGCTGAGCGCCAGTCAGTCGGAAGGGCTCAAGACCCTTTGGAAAAGCTCTTCCTTGGCCAGGGTTCCTCAGGCCTGGGAGATCCCAGTTTCACGAAGGTCGGCCCCTTTGCCATTTCACCCGAGTCTCAGAGCACCCTTCCGATATCTTCCGATTGCCCTTCCTTCCGAATGGGTAGGCCGCGTAGCCGTTCCAACAAAGAAGTCTTTGGGTCACGCCTCTAACATGTGGCGCCACTTTTAGGTTCCTCATTTTAAGGCGGCCCGTTTTTGGGGTAAGCCCGCTCCCACCTGCAAGTCGCGCACCTGGGCTCGTGAGCACCAGGAGATCTGGCTTGGGAGTGGCCTGAAACTGCAGCTGCAACTCATGGGAGTTTCACCGGGGTATCACTCCTCGTGCCTTCTCGGTGAGCTGCCCCTGTGCAGCAGAGAGGATATGATCCAAACTGTCCCAGAAGAAGATCGTGCCATACTTGACCATCATGAACCCCAGCGAATCTGCTTTGCCGATGCCGGTGGTCAAAACCTCCGCTGCTGCGAGATGGGCAAGGCCCCAGACGCATCAAGGCTCAAAAAGGGTGCACTTTTTTTTGGCACTTTCTTTTTTTGTTTTGGCCTCTATTTTTTTGGGGGGGTTAGGGTTTAGGGTTCAGGGTTCAGGGTTTAGGGTTTGGGGTTTAGGCTTTAGGGTTTAGGGTTTAGGGTTTATTAGGGTTTAGGGTCTAGGGTTTAGGGTTTAGGGTTTAGAGAGGAAAACGGGGAAATAGGGCCAAAAAAACAAACAACGGGTACAGTCATTCACTGAAACCCTTGTGCCAAAAAAAGGGCCAAAAAGAAAAAACCAAATAAGGGCCCAAAAAAAATTGGGTCCCCGAAGCGCACCCCCACTTCGAAAGTCTGCGTCTCATGGTAAGGTTCGCAAATCCTCTGACATCAACCGCTGAGGGTATGGCCAGCAGGAGGAACTTCGTGTGCGACAGCGCAGTATGCTTCAGCACAACAAGCTTCAGCCACTCCGTGGGCACGGGCAGAGTGGCCTTCAGGGTTCGGGTGTCGGGAAGATTCAGGAGGAGCAATGTAGCTTCAAAAGCAGGTCGGGAAGGTGCAAGGAGCTTGGAGCTGCTCCATGGCACAACCCTGAGGCAGACTAAACGACTTCGAGGCAGATTGGCACATACTCAGGTCACACAAGCTCGGGCTTTGAAGGGATTGAAAAGCGCCCCGGAAGACCCTCGAACGTCCGGCCTGGAAAGTGATCTCCCCGGTTCCCTTCGTACGAGCTTGCCGCTCCAGACCGCCTCGGACGCCGAGAAAAGGGAAAGATGTTTTTTGGGCCGCCCGCCACGCCCTCCAGTACTGCGTGCGCCACCCTATTCCCTTACCATAGGCTCAAAACCTCAGAGATAAGTTGAGGGCTTGGGGGTTTTAAGCTTAAACCCTGCATGCTCGCAGCCTGCTCCAGTATTTCTACGAATTTATCGATTAGCACAACAGCAACACTACTATTTCAACGATGAGAACAACAGCAACGGCAAACGGCAACAGCAACAGCAACAGCAAGCTCTGGATCTCTGAGACATCGTTATGTACGACACGACCGGTGCACTGAGTGACTTGAAGCTGTCATGGTTGCCTCACTTGGGTGGGGGGTGCCTTCCAGGTGCTCCAGGAGAATGTGGTAGGAGGTTTGGATGACATCGCCATCGCGGAATCGGGCGTCCTTCAGCAAGACCTGGAACTTCTCGGCAGCTTTCACTGGGCCCTGTCAGGGATGGAGCAGCTGCGTGTAAAAAAACGCGTGTGCCCCCCCCCGCTCACGCAGTCTGCCTCGTCCTCCTTCAGCAAGTACTTCTTGAACACGCTCTGCATGAGGTCATCCTGCACTGCGTGGTCATGAAAGTCTCGGGCTACCGCATGCCCCAACTTGGATTCTGAGACAGGCTTCTAGAGCCGAGCGGCATGTCGACCATTGCGGGACTTGCAAATGTCGCTTTGCACGAACTTGTAGGCAGAGGTGCCAGGCTGTAAGGTGCTATGCCGGGGTCATGTGCATGTGCATGGAAAAGTTCACGAGAAGAACACCCGCAAAAGCCTCAAACTCGTCCAGGGTTTTGAAGGGCTGCTCCAGTGCCGGAGGTGACGGCAGGCGAATGCTCAAGGGCGTGACAGCGCCGTGAAGGCCCACCAGCAGCTGTTGCCGGTCGGATCGACCTCTGAAAAAAACAAGAACCATATCAGATAAAAAGGTCATACTCGTGTAGTTGTTCTATGAACATATCCATAGTATACTAATTATAACTATACAAGACTGTCGTGTAGATGGTCAGTTCTTCTGATTCTATTTGCCTTTTCTGCTCGCAAGCGTATCCCAAACCGGGCCACTCAAAAGAGCGGACCACACGAACCCATGACCTTCTGAGGTCGGGGGCCCACGTCCTGCATCTTCCAGAAGGCTGCGATGAGGTTGAAGATCTCACTCTTGCGGATCTCATCGGCGCTGAGGCTGCCTGCTTGCGGGGAGCAAGATTGGGAAGAGGAGGAGGAGGAGGGGGAGGAGGAGGAGTAAACAAGGGGATGGTTGTTCTTAGACAAAGGGTTCAAGTTTGGGCGGCGGTCAATATTCCTTCATCCAGGAACGGCGGACGCTGAGAAAAATCAAAGTGCCGCCTTATTATGAAAAGGAGAACGAAGGTCTGGAACGATGGCTCTGGCAAATACTGAAGTATAGCACTAATCCTGTGCCCCTATGTCAAAACCTCGCAAAACACACTAGCGCCTTCATTGTAAGACTCAGGTGTCGTCTTCGGAACTACTGGAGCTAATGTTTCGCACGCAAGCATCAGCATCCTCAGCTCATACCATGTCAGCTTTGGAAAGGAAAAGCGCCTACATGGGAGAGATCCTGAAACCTGCATATACGCATGGTGCCGCCTTGTGGCGAAGACATAAACCAGCAAGAGCGGGACTTCATATTGTAAGACCCAGGCGTCGTCTTCGGAACTGCTGGAGCTAATGTTTCGCAAGCAAGCATCACTTTGGAAAGGCATAGCGCCTACATGGGGGAGAGCCTGAAACCTGCATATACGCATGGTGCCGCCTTGGGGGCGAAGACATAAACCAGCAAGAGCGGAACTTCATATCGCACTTCCACCATACTGTACATACATGGTATTTTGACGTCCGCCCAAATGGTTTATGTTGTCTGCAAGACTGTAAGACTTGCCTATGCTGCAACGGCAGTTGTTAGCACTGTTAGGCCATGACAGCTTCGTGGGAATGACTCATGACGGCGCAAGCATCTGATCCCGTCTACCATACGCCTCCACCCCAAGCCCCGGGCGGCAGAGCCAACTCCAGGGGGCCTGGGCTGAAGGACCCCGGAACCTGAAGTTCCTTTCCACACTCAAAAGGCCCTAACACGCCCTATTCAACGTGTTTTCAATCCAAGCCGGGGCGGCGGAGCCAGCACCAGCGGCCTGGATTGAAGGACCCCCC